CCAGAATCTTTTCACCCCAGAATCTTTTCCTCAGAATCTTTTCCCCTGAACTAGAATCCTGTTGGAGGGTGCTGAGTCTTTGTTTAGGCAGTGACGATGGCTTGTCCCACTCTTGTCCCCATGTACTCCATCTTCCTCTCCCCGATATTATCACTGCCCCTGGCCCTCAAATGTCTGATGTCAAGAGGAAGAGATGGGGGCTTACCCAGTTCACATGGGTCTCCTTTTTGCATCCCCAAATTCTGGTGGGCGATGGGTTCCAGCATCTGCTTTGTGGCTCAGTCAAATTAAATTCCCACCCACAGTGAATTTCCTAAAGCGTGGGAAGAACAAGTCAGCCCGTTTTGCTCCAGTCCCCCCAGGATGAGGTTAGAACTTTTCAGCTTGATGACTTTCATCCTCAGACCCGACCTTCTTCTTCCACTGCCTTCTCCACATGGGGTCTCTTTTGTAGGTAGCCCACACTCCAAAGGCAACACCCATTTTCATACCTGCTGGTCGTTCTTCCTGCTGATTCTTCTGGAATGTAGAGGTTCATTCTGGAGTCAGAACCGAATCTCTCACTCTTTTGGAAGATCTATTATTCCCTGCTATTCTGAGATTGTACAGGCTCTACTGATTTAGGTCCAGTGGAGATATTCCAATTGGAATGCCCAATTTCTGGGCATCAGTTGTGGAGTTCCCTAGAGGTCACTTAAGCCATGATCCTGCCTCCTGCCCATCCATGGAGCACTACACCCCCCGATTCCTCTGAGACCTCCCTTTATAGTACTCCCCTCTTTTCAGTAGACTCTTGTGAGCATATTGAAAGAGGAGGGAAGGGGAAGGATGGAGACACAATGCATGAACACTGAGCTGAAATATCTATGTTCCAGAAAGATGATCCATACCATCTCACTCAGTCATCTCAAAACCCACAGGCATCATTACGCCCGTATCACGGATGAGAAAATAGAGCTAGAGAGGTGACCTGTTTTTCCCAAGATCCCTACACTACTGAATTAGTTGGCTAAGGAATACTAGTTGCTGTAACAGGTTCCCAAAACAACTAGCTTATTTTTCCCCCACGGAAACTCTAGTGAGGTGGATCTAGCTCGTGACTGGACTGCTCTGTGGTCAATCAGAGACCCGGGCCCCTTCCCCTTGTGACTCCATCCCCTTTCATGGTCACAGAATCTTTGCCACCTAGCAACACCTGGAGGAGGAGGGGGGAGCAGAAGAGATAACATGAAGTTCACATGACAGGTTTTGGGGGGTCAAGTCTAGAGCTGGCAGAGAACGCCATTCTGCTCACATGCTATTAGCCAGAGCTCAGTCATGCAACTACATTCCATTCCCGGTACGTGCTTGGGAAGAGCAGAGAAACCGGGAATTGGAGTTTATTAGCAGCCTCTTCCTCAATCTCAGGGAAAGGGAACCTCAGGGGAGTGAAGTGTGTTGAACTAGTTCAGTGAGATGAAGTAGGATGAGAACTCGGGTCCTCCCCTTCCTTGAAGAGTTTTGGTGAACAACACGGCCGGAGGCCCCAGGCAATGCTGGAAATGTTGGAACACCACCTCTGACCTCAGGGTCTAGTACCATAAAGAATTCCTTTGGAGATTAAGGACTTGTTGCCCGGGGTGTGTATTTGCCCTGCAAGGAGGGTCCAGATGAGCCCTGCATTCTGGTATGTCAACTGAGAATGTGCCCTCAGCTTTGACCTGGCCTGGTAACACCTTTGCTGGGTAAATTTGACCTTAACTCTCTGAGTGGAAGATCCCACCTCCTACCAGAAATATCACTCTATTGTTCTCAGTTCAGGTGATTTTGCATGTCTAATTCCCATACAATAAGAACAGACACCTAATATTCGCAGGAACAGTGTGGAGAAGCCCCAGTGTTAACCCTTTGAGTGCTGGATTCTGGGGAGGTCAACGGGTGCTGGCAGAGCCGGATGGAGAGGCCCACTCTGGGCTGTTTACCTACCCTCTGGAGTACTCAGACATCTGACCACCACAACAGGCTTGGACCCTGGTCCTAAATGCTGAAGTCCCATTAAGGACTCTGTAGTGCCAGGTGTTGGTGCACTGAGGCAGGGAAGAATGTGGATTAGAAATTGGGGCCTCCCTGGTGGTGCAAGGGGTTAACACACAACCTATGAAGCTATCTGCAGCCATTGAAGTACGAGTTCAATCCCTAGCCAGGGAGCTACCCACATGGCGCAGCAGACCTCTCCTGCCGCCCGCTGCTCCCCTCAGCAGTGTATTTTGTCAATCTGCCTATTCTGTTCCCCGCTCTGGCTCTGGTGAATTCTCTCACCCTCCTGTGCTTCTGACTGTACCCAGTATTTGTATAAATAAACAAATAAATAAATCTTAAAAAAAAAAGTATTCAGACAGACTGGTCTTCCCTTCTCTCCCTTCTACCATGCGTACAATGAGCTCGGGCCCCTAATGCATGAGTACAGGGATGGGACAAAAGAGAGAATGGCTCCACATGGAGTGTGGCTGGGGTCTTGGTGAAGGAAAGAACACGCCAGCCGGCGCTCAGCAGACACGGCTCAAGCCACAGGTGGGCCACTCCAGCGGCGTGGCCTTGAGACAGGGCCCTGCCTCTTTGGGGCTCCTTCCCTCAGTCCTCTCCCCATTTTGCTCACTCAGTGCCAGCTCCCCGGCCCCCTCAGGGTTCTGCGAACTCGACTCATTGACTCAGGGACTCACCAGGTGCCTCCGCCCAGGGTCAGGACAAATGCTGTTTGGTTCCTCTTTTTGGAGGCCCCTAGAGGTGCCAAATCACAAAAGGGAATCATGTTTGCCAGGGACCTGTGGTCAGAGGAGGAGGAGTTCTTGAATGTTCAGCCTCGCAAGACTGGGAAAGGGGTGGAGCTGGGCAGGGGTGATGGCTGCCCCAGGGTGTGGTTGTACTTTGTGCCACTAACTCAAGATGGCGAAATGTTGTGTTAGATGTACTTCACACACCATGATTCAAAATCAATCAATATTTGGGCCTCCCAGGTGGTGCAAGGGTTTAAGCACAGCACTATGAAGCTAGCCACAGCCACTGCAGCATGAGTTCGATCCCTGGCCAGGGAGCTACCCATATGGCGCAGCAGACCTCTCCTGTCTTGCCTGCTGCTCCCCTCAGCAGTATATTTCAGTCAGTATATTTCTGCCTGTTCTGCTCCCCACTCTGTCTCTGGTGAATCCTCTCAACCCCCGCATCTCTGGCCTGTACCCCAGCTCTCTCGTATGCATAAATAAAAATCAAGCCATCTTTTGGAAAAAACACCTGAAGTGGGGCTCAAAGATCAACTCCACAGGCTTGTTGTAAAGCATCTGAAATAAGCTTGTCCACTTAAGCATGTTGTGGTTATTATTAATGTAAATATTATAGTACTTAATGATATGAATATTAACATATTATTGGTATTATTATTATTTAATTTTTTTAATTTTAATTTTTTAAAATTTCTTTTTAATTTTTATATTCCTCATACAATTGCACCCCCCTTATTTTAACCCCAATCCCTCCTTTCCCTGCCCCCCCCATAGTATGTCTCTGGTTCATAGTTGTTTGTTGGTATTATTATTAATATAAAATAAAAATAAGTTGTCATGACTCTGTGACCACAAAACAGCAGAAGATTAAAAGTCCCAATTTTCTCCCACTTATTGCTGGTAACCTTCTTGCCCCAGTTTCCTGCACCGTAATGTGGAGGCAACAGTATCTACCTCATAAAGTTATGGAAGGAGTAAATGACCTAACTACTGGAAAACATTGACAGCACTGCCTGGCACGGAGTAAGAGGTTCATAGAGCCCAGCTATTTTGTTTGAAGAGTTCATAATTCTAACATCAAGCCAACTAGTCATGGTAACTATTTACTTTTTAAAGCTGCTGAATCCAGTCCTCACCTCCTTCACCATAACTAGGACGTGGAATCAAAGTCCATCTAGGTTGGAGATCATGAAATTAATTGTCTGCCTGGTATGGTTTTGAAGGTGAAAGACAAATTATTATTAAGCCAGGCTCAGGGAGCCATTGGCTATCCAGCTGGGATCCCCACCCAAGACCACTGTCACTGTAAGTCACCACAACACAGGTGGCAGCAGTGAGCAAGCTGCTTTGCTGATGTTACATAATCCGGGTTCACCGGTTCACCCACAGTGCAAGCTCCCCTTTGTATGACCTGCTTTACTGAAGCAGAGAAGCAGCGAAAGCACGTGGGCCTTGTCCCCAGCACATTCCACACTCTGCACCAGAGTGGCTTAGAGCCCAGTTCTGGTTCCCTGCAACTGCCAGGGCTGGTAGTGACAAGGGGTTGAAGGAAATGTCCTCCCGGCCCTCACCTCCTCTAGTACCTGTCACAGAGGCGGCAGGCTGGTGTGGAATTAGAGGGATCCTTTAAAAATATGTCAGTAAAAACATATAAATCAGATCACCTTACTGCTCTGCTCAAAACCTCCTCATGAGTGAAGACCAAATCCTCCACCATCTGCCCCATCACCTATCTGCCCTCCTTTCCTACCCCTGCCTGCTCCTCTCCTACCCCTGCCTGTGCTAGACGCTGGCCTCCTGGCTGCCTCTCCAAATTCCAGGCACATTCCACCCCAGGGCCTTTGCACTGGCTGTTCCCTCTGCCTGGGGCCCTTTACATTGATACCACTGCTCCAGCACGCTGGTCTCCTTTATTACGTTTCTGTTCAAAAGCCCCCTTCTCAGAGGGCTCTTCCCAATTACCCCACTGACAACTACAAAGGACCCCACACACACTCCTGCCTTTCTAATCCCCACTCCCCACAGTTTTATCACTTTCTGACACCCCATAAAATTATGTTATTTTTGTCTCTTGATCATTATGGATTCCCTCCCTCCTCAGACACACACATCAATGTCAACTCCACAAGGGAAAGGAGGCTTTTTCTATTGCTTGCTGTATTCTCAGCCCCTAGAACACAGCAGGCGCTTGATAAATACATGTTAAATGAATGGTCTGTGAGGCAGGTGTTCTTATTACCCTATTCCAGATGCATCCAGCACATGTTTATTGAGCACCTACTGTGTACCAGACACTGTTTTAGGAGCTGGGATACAACAGTGAATGAAGGACGTTCCACACAGAGGGTTGGCCTCAGAGTCTGCATGTGAACCCTGTAAGACCTCTCTGTGGTGCAGTTAGGGAAGGAAGACACACACAATGGAAGGAAGGAGGGAAGGAAGGAAGGAAGGAAGGAAGGCGCGTTCAGAGCAGATAGTGTTCGCTCAGGTGGGAGGGGCTTGACTTTGAAGGTGTTGTCTTGGCTGCAGGATAAGCTGGAAGGGTGGTGGCTGCTTCCCAAAGCCACTCTCCTGGGGCTGCAGGTCCAGGGTGGCAGGAGGTAGCAGGGAGGAGGGTGAGTAGCGCTGCAGCAGCCACGTCAGGTAGAGAAAGAGCTCAGTTCGTGCCAGAGACTCTCCAGGGCATGCTCGGCGCCCTTGAGGTGGGGGGTGGGGGCAGAAGAGACCGAGATGAGGAGGGGGTGAAGAGGGGGTGTGTATGGGAGAGACATATCAGAGACACAGACAGGAAAGAGACCAGAGCTGAGGTCTGACCACATGGTTTCAGACCATGTCATCCCAGCCAACCTTTCCCGCCCCGTCTTGGACACATTCGTTCTCTATGAGCCCAGATGCCTTGGATCCTTGTCCACCTGTGGGGGTACAGCGGTCCTTCGGGAATCTGCAGGGGGGCTGGTTCTAGGGCCCCCTGTGATACCCAATTCTGAGGCTGCTCTAGTCTCTTCTATAAAATGAAGTAATATTTTTCCATTGCAGTAATATTGCACTATAATGTTATACAAGACAGGGGTTCATCATTGAGAACCAGTCACTACATTAAGGTCACTGCTAAAAGTTCAGAAAAATGGTGAAGAATTTGCACATACCCTAAGATATGCTCCTCAGCTATGTTAAATCATCTCTAGGTGGCTTATAATTCCTAATACAATATGAATGCTATGTAAATGGCTGTTATGCTGTTTTTGTGTGTGTTCAGTGCAGACACAGTCAGCAACCATGGTTGACCTAACCACCCAGTCCAGTCGGTGCTGGAATATCATTGCTTTGTTCGGCTGTGACCCCAGGATTAACTGTTCCACTGAGCTTCTACGGGAGCTCATGCTCCTCACATTAGAAAGTCACTCCTTATGTTAAGGGAGAGGTTCAGGGCCTCACTGGTGGCACAAGGGGTTAAGTCTCAGTGCTATCAAGCTAATGTCAGCCACTGTGGTGTGAATTCAATCCTCGCCAGAGAGCTACCCACATGGCGCAGCAGACCTCTCCTGTTTCGCCCGCTGCTCCCCTCAGCGGTGTATTTTAGTAGATCCACCTGTTCTGCTCCCCACTCTGTCCCTGGTGAATCTTCTCACTCCCCACACCTCTGGCCTGCACCCCAGTTCTTGTACGCATAAGTAAATAAAAACAAATCTTTGAAAAAAAGGGAGGGGTTCAGAGAGGCACAGTGTTCTTCCTGAGGCCTCACAGCAGCCTCTGGCCTGGACGAGAGCATGGACTGACCTGCAGAGAAGGGCAGAAAGGCAGGGTTCTTTTGAAAAGCCCCACTGGCATCCAGGAACCTCTCGGGCTGGAAGGAGGAGGGGTCTTGGAACCAGTCGGAGTCATTGAGGACAGAGTGGAGCATCGGGAACACCATGGTGCCCTGGGGGAGGAGTAAGGGCCAGATGTTCACAGCTACTCCCCCAGACAGCACCCAGAGGTGGACTTCCTGTCGGTTGGCCCAGTGTTCCCTGGTAGAGCAGGCCCCTGGAGACAGCAGAGCAAAGATCGTGCGCTCTGGGGTCAGCAGAACTGGTGGCTGAACCCCAGCCCTGTCACTTCCCCGCTGGGTGACTTTGGGCCAGTGGCTGTTTCTGAAACGAAATCTGTCCATCTGTGAAATGTTCCTATGACAGTTTTATTACAACTTGACACAGGGTAGTCAAGGAGAAGAAATGAATCTCTGGACATATAATAAACAGTCAAGAATTGGTTATTATTTTTTGTGCCTCACACCAGTGATTGAAACCTCGAGTGGCCCTTTTCCTTAACATCACACACTCAACAGGTCACTGCCTGGAGAAGGTGCCTTTTAAAAATTCTCACAAGGGGGCCTCCCTCGTGGTGCAAGGGGTTAAGTCTCAGCACTCTGACGCTACTGCCAGCCACTGCAGCACGAGTTCTATCTCCGGCCAGGGAGCTGACCCACATGGCGCCACAGACCTCTCCTGTCTTGCCCACTGCTCCCCTCGGCAGTGTATTTCAGTCTGTCTGCCTGTTCTGCTCCCCACTCTGTCTCTGGTGAATTCTCTCTCCTCCTGTGCCTCTGACCTGCACCCCAGCTCTTGTATCATAACTAAATAAATCTTTAAAAAAAAAATAAAAATTCTCACCAGGGCCAATGGCTGCCCTGGTATTATTTATATCACTTCCAGTCACAGAAGCCAATCAACCTCTGTGGGAACTCTTACCTATTTAGATCCTGTTGAACTGTTTTGATAGCTTTATAACCTGTCACAGATTTCTTAACCTCTCCAATTAAGGGCCCTTTTGATGTCCATTCAAGCAAATAAGCAGTATCCAGCTAACACTAAGAGCATCGAGGAACTTTCAGGCTGGCAAGGACCAAGGTATGGGGCCTCCCTTGGCAAGCCTCTTCCATCTGGCACCACTTATCTTTAAAGTTTTGTTTTTTTTTTTAAAGATTAATTTATACAAGAACTGGGGTACAAGCCAGATGTGTGCAGGAGGGTGAGAGGATTCACCAGAGATAGAGCGGGAAACAGAACAGGCAGAATGACCGAAATATACTGCTGAGGGGAGCAGCGGGAGTGACAGGAGAGGTCTGCTGCACCATGTGGGACCCTCCCTGGCCAGTGGTGATCTAACTGGCGCTGCAGAGGCTGTGGACAGCTTCACAGCGCTGCACTCAACTGCCTGCACCACCAGGGGAGGCCCACCACTTATCTTTGTTGTTGCAGGGTGAGGGAAAATCCCCACATCACAAAAGGCCCAGTACATGGCCACACTGACGCTCGAATTCAGGGAGATTGGGCAGGCTATTGGAGCCTGATATTCCTGCCACAACTCAGGCCTGGACAAAGTGTCTGAGAGGGTGTGTCAGAAATAAATCCAGGCCTGGATAAACACCCAAAAGAAGTGAAAGCAGGGCCTCTCTGGTGGTGCAGAAGTTAAAGTCTCAGCACTGTGAAGCTAGTGACAGCCACCACAGCACAAGCTTGATCCCCAGTCAGGGAGATACCCACATGGCACAGCAGACCTCTGCTATCTTACCCACTGCTCCCCTCAGCAGTGTATTTCAGTCGATCTGTCTGTTCTGCTCCCCACTCTGTCTCTGGTGAATTCTCTCACCCCCTTACCTCTGGTTTACCCCAATTCTTATATACACAAATAAATAAAAATAAAAATTAACAATAAAAAAAAAGAAGTGAAAGCAGAAGCCTGAAAGGTATCTGTACACCCAGGTTCATAGGAGCATTATTCAGCACAGCCCACAGGTAGAGGCAGCGTATGCATCCACTGATGGATGGTGGAATATTATTCAACCTTAAAAAAGGAAGGAAATTCTGGTATGTGCTACAGTTTGGATGAACCTTGAGGACATTATGCTAAATAGACCTCCTCCATGCTGAGATGCAGGCCTAGCTCCTGGGGTGTCTGCTGTGGATGGCTGGAAGCTGTTGTTTTCTGAGAACTGCCTTTGGCCACAGGAAGCTACCTCATCCTTATGGGAGCTCCTTCCTAAGAGAAGCCACAGCCAATCCCTGGCTGAGATAGGAGTGTTACACCAGCCCCTTGATTCCATGAGTGATGGCTCTTGAGACACTACAGTCCAGAGTACCCCTCAGAGCCCACTGAGTCCTCTGTGCTGCTGTGCCCATGCAGCTCCCCAGGGAACCTCCAGTGTACCAGCTGGGGGAAGAGTCTGTGCTCAGAGAACAGGAGTGGACCTGGACTTTTCTCTCCACACAATTCCAGGACCAAACCCAGTTTCTCAAGAGTCCCATCTCTAGCCCCTCTCACCCCAAATACTCTCAGACTAAGACAGACAGACCCTCCCCTTCAAACTACATAACCAGTTTGTTCATTTTAGGGCTACGAGAGACAGCCTTGAGAAGGTGACTTCTCAGCAAGTTCTGAAGCAGAGGAGGGAGGGAGCCATGAGGGTCTTTGAGGGAAGGGCATAGCAAGAAGGGGGAACAACCAATGCAAAGAGTCCAGGGAGAGGGAAACCCTGGAAAATGGAAGGACAATGAGGAACCAGGTGTGCTGGAGTGAGCTGGGAGAGAGCAGAGGATGGGCACCCAGAGCACCAGCTGGAGGCCTGATCATGCCAGGATTTTGATTTTGACTCAAAATGAGATGGTAACCATGGCGGAGTTTTACACCGTGGAGCGATGTGACTGAACGCCACTCTGTCTCTGGGGTGGACAACCAAACTTGTCGTGATAATAATCAAATGACTGAAACATTGGTGCAGTGACTATGTACCATCAACTCATTGATCTTTGCAACCACAAAGTGAAGGTAGAATTCTGGCACCCACTGTATAGAAGAGACCAGGGATCAGAGAGGTTGAGTCAATTGCCCAGCATTGCACGGCTAGAAAGTGGAAGTGCAGGGGAACTAGGTGACTCCTGAGCCCTAGTTCTCAATGGTTGCACTTTGGTGCCCCATTGGGGAGCTGGCAATCCCACTCCTGCTTGGGTTGAGGAAAGTGGGGCTGGGAACCAGATCTGGAAGGTCCCAGCAGCCCAGTATGGAGAGGACTGGCTTTACAGTTCTGCCTAAGACACCTGAAATTGCAGCTGAGCCAGGAGGCCCCCATGACTGTACCTTGGGGATGTGGTATCCTCGGAACTGAGTGTCCTGGGTGACAGCATGGGGCACGCCCAGAGGTATGATGTCTGCAAATCTCAGGATCTCGTGGAGCACAGCCTCTGTGTATGGCATCCGGGGCCTGTCCCCCAGGCAGGGCCGTCTCTCTGGCCCCACCACTCGATCAATCTCTTGCTGTATGAGCTCTGCTCCATTTAGTAAAGGGTGAGAAAAGAAAGTTCTGGCCATGGGAAGGCTTGACAAGCTGGGCACCCACTCCCACCTTCAACTTCCCAGACTCCCAACTCAGAATTGTGTCAAGGGCAGCCACCCTGCATCCGCTGATGATGCTCCACCTGCACTGCCCACCCACACCCACTGCCCTGGGCAATGGGCTAAGAGACCTGGGTCCTTGTTCCCAACTTGACAACTCGGGGCCACGAAGAGAAAGGGCTGGTTCTAACCTGTAATCTGAGGGTACTTTAGGAGGATTAGGAGACCATATCTCAGGGTAGTGCTGGTTGTCTCCATCCCCGCAAAAAAGATGTCAAGAGCAGAATTGAGCAAATTCTCTTGGTTGAATTCTGTGTGGGGATCCCCTTGCTCCTACATAAAAAAATGCAGATTGTCAGAATTAGAGAGGAGCCAAAAGAGGCCATCCAGCCAGACCAGGGATGGCAGATGAGTGGCTCTCCTCATTACATGTTCATTTCCTTAGTCTTTGCCCAAAGCAGGCATCACCAATCAATTCCAGCACTCTTTGCACTAAACCTCAGACCCCTGTTATCAAACAGGCAAAGCTGACACAAGAAGCTTATTTATAGTTCCAGATCTAGAACAAAGATTCCCTTATCAGTACATCCGTTTTATTGGTAAAATGAATGCCAGATTCCCATTTTCATGAGACCCAGAGATACAGAGAAAATTGCATTTGGTCACCCAGTAAACAGAAAAGCAAGGTGGGGGATTTGGTGCCTAATTCTCTTGAGTCCCATTCAAGGATGCTCCCAAACCCTCAGCCCTCACAGATCCCAGGAGGGAATGACCCCAGCTCCACGTCTCACCTGCTGCATTCGGATGAGGAAGGCATCGATGAAGTCCCGGGGCTGAGCCGGGTCCAGAGACACCTCATGCTCTTTCACAACACGGGCCACAAACTCCTTCTGCTTCTCAAAGACCTCGAAGAGCCGGTTGTGTGGCCCAGGGAGGTGCCGCAGCAGAGCTGGGAAAAGGCTGTATATCTTGGGGGCAGAAAGGGGTCCTGGAGAGGAAGTGTCTTGGCACCTGCTGTTTCCTCTGCTGAAATACTACTTCCCACCCTTCTGCTTACTCTGGCTGGTGAACTCCTGCTCATCAGGTATCAGGTGTGTGTCATCTCCTCCAGAAAACCTTCCCGAACTTCCACATTCTTATTGGCCCCAGCTGACGGAGATTTGACCTTGACCCCACTGTTCGTGCCCCCCATACTAGTTCTGATCCCTCTGCCAGCCAGTGCCCCCTGTCCCTCCATGACCCCTCTGCCTGTCCCCCACCCCCATGATCCACTCTGAACTGTCACTATCCCATGACTGTTCCGTCTCCTCCTCTGGGGTGAGAGTCCCGTGAGGGCAGGGCCCCAACTGTCTCACTAACCCCGTGTCCTCGCTCCCCGGCACAGGCTGGCGGGAGGAGTGGTTCAGGGAACACAGACCAAACGACTCCACTGTGTCGTGCCCTGATCACTGGTCACCCGTGCCTGGGACCAGATCTGTCAACCCCTTGATGGAAGTTGCGTCAGGACAGGGCAGGGATTGTTGTGGTCTGCAGTGTTACTAGCACTCAGCAAAGAACTGGACACAACATAAAAGGTTGATGACAGGCATTTGAAGTGATGGGTGGGACCCCGGAGGATGGGATGTGTGGCTGGTGTGGGGGGTGGCTTCAAGTACCTGCACCCAAAATGTGTCCACCTGCTTCAGGTTTTCAGCCAGCAGCCACAGGAAGGTCTTGAAGTCCTCATCTTGGTAGTCAAAACGACGGCCAAAGACCACGGAGCAGATGATGTTGGAGATGGAGCGCCGAATTGGGAAGGTGGGGTCAAAGGGCATGCCTGGGGGGGTACTAAGAGAGGTTAACTGCTCCCTGTCACTGGCTCACCCTCCCAGCACACATCTTACTATGCCACTCCCCTGCTCAAACCATCCTGCGGCTCCCCAGGGCCCTCAAGGCAGTTCAAGGTTTTAGTATGAAGCACAGGCCCTCACGTGGTCAGCTCCTATTATCACCCCAGTCTTCCTCTCACCACTTCCTTCCATGTTCAAGGCTCCAGAAAAATGGAACTTTCCTCAGCTTCTCCAGAACACTGAACTCTCTCATCTCTGGATCTCTGGCTTGTCTGCTGCCTCCCAAAACTGAGTGATTTTTTTTCTCACCCTGAAGAGTCAACTTAGATATCTTCTCCAAGAGGCCTTCTCTGACCCTCCCTTCTAGTCCTGACCAAGAGCCTCCTCTGGGATTTCCCCACCACAGTCCAGCCAGAGCAGCTGGCGCCATGACGGGAGAGGCCTTGGGAACCCAGGGGAGGCTCCTGACCCAGTTTTGAGTGGGGGTGGGGCAACTGGGGCCAGTAGATTCCTGAAGGAATGGATGGCTATGCTGAGCCCTGAGCTGGAGTAGCAGGAGTAGTCACACTAAGAAGGAGGAAAGCCATTCCAGGCCAAGGGTTTGGCCCATGCTTGAGAAGGCCCGAAGGCCCTCTGTCAGGGAGGTTGTCCAGGTTGCACACTTCACAAAGGTGCACAAGTTCTAACAACGTTCTGGCAGATGGCAATCAGGTGTCTTGAGAAGGGGGCACTTTTCATAATTCACAGAGGGGCACCGTATGGCTTGGCAGTTGCCTTGCCCTCAGAGGTTCCCAAAGGCTTTAAATTAAGCTGCATGTGTCTGGTTTTGTCTGGTAAAGACCTTCAGTGTAAATCACCCACATGTGATTGCACAATTGTTGTGTCTGTGGGAAGAGGTGAGTTCAGATCCCGCTCGGCCAGTCTATCTTTAAGGTCAGGAGTCCCAGGGACACTTTCTAGAGGCCCTGGGAGGTCAGAAGACCAGTTGGGAAATGTGATTGAGTCTAGGGCTCCTGAAAGTGATGAGGAACTGTAGTCTCAGAGAGGGGAAGGGGCTTGTCAAAGTCAAAGAGAAGAGCTTCACACACACACGCACACACACACACGCACACACACACACACACACATATACATGCTGGATCCTCCCCTGATCCCACGGTTCTCACCACACGTCTTCTCCAGCTCCTCCTCCAGGCAGCCCACTTCCTCCTGGATACGCTCTTCCAGGCTCCGCCTGCCCAGGCCCAGGTCCCGGAGAGCCGTCAGCGCAAACCTCCTCAGAGTTCTCCAGCGCTTGCCCTGGCTGAAGGCAATGCCTGCAGGGAGGCCAGAGATCAGAAGGCTGGTGGAATATTCCCTCTGGGCTGCCCTAGAAGGTGAGACTCCTAGGAACCATAGTACAGGGAGCGGGGAGCGAGACAGGGGGTGTCTGCAGGCCCTGAGCCGGGGGTGGGGATAGGACGAGGGGCCTTTGGTCAGCAGCGCTCAGCAGGGGCCAGACCTTGACCATCTGATGAACCAGGACTGTGCCTTGAGGGCAGCGGGGGCACATTTTCCCTAGCCAGGTCTATGTCATTCTAATGCAGCTTCTTTTGAGCATATCAAGGTCATTTGAGTCAATTCTCACATATATATGTACAATTTGTCCCATTTTCAGCGTTCTAGTAATTCTTGGAGTGGACATGTGATACTTTGCTCAGATCCCGCCTGGGGAATACAGAAACTGTGTTCCCTGCTGCTGGTCTGTCCTTGGCCATCAGTCCACACCTACGGCTGCTCCACGTGGGGCAGGAGGTCCATATATCATGACTAAATTCAGAATACCAGCAAAAGGTCATCCCCTCTCGAGACCTGTATCTCCACCTGGAGACTGTATCTAAGCTTGACTTGCCCCCTTACCCACTCCTGCTTCACCCCTTCCATTCCCCAGATACCAACCAGAGACCACATTCCCCCCTCCCCCGCCATGGAGGGCTTGGGTGTTAATGTCCGTCTCAGAGTAGGGACTCTGCAGACCCAGTCTGCAGTAAGTTCAAAGTCAAGTGTGGTAACATTTACAACGCCACCCTTCCTCCCCACCCAAAGGTCTCCATGCCCTTATCTTCATCACTCCTGGCTTCAGAGGTAGAGGACCTTGCAGGTGTGATGGAGCGAAGGATCTTGAGATGGGGGGTTATCTTGGATCACCTGGATGGGCCAAAGGAATCGTGAGGGTTTTTAAAAGAGGGGGGCAGAAGAATCAGGGTTAGAGAGAGAAGATTTAAGGACAGAAGCAGAGAGAAGAGTTGTGTTCCAGGCTTTGACAGAGGCTGGAAATGCAGGGGGAGGTCACTGGGCAGGACGACAGCTTCTGGAAGTTAAAAATGCCAGGGAACCAATGCTCCTCTACAGGCTCCAAAAGGAACATGCCCTGGAGGCACATTTGAGACTCTGACCTCCAGTGCTACAAGATAATTAATTCATACTGTAAGCCACTGAGTTTGGAATACTTGGTCACAGCGGACAAAGGTAACTAATAGATCACGTGGCTTTCTATCCAGGGTCACCCCAGTCTGCACTGGTTTGCCAGGTTGTAGTAACAAAGTACCACAACTGAGTGGCTCCAACAACAAAGGCACGTCCTACTGTCTTGGAGGCTGAAAGTCCAAGATCAAAGTACAGGGCAGCGGCACATTTTCGAGGACCGGAAAGGAGAGTCCCTCTGCGCTCGCCCTTGCGTCTGTGTTCGCTGAGCATCTTGTACATTCCTTGGCGATCAGCTGCAGCGCTCTGCTCCCTCCTTCATCCTCACAGGGCATTTCCCAGTGCCCATGTTTGTGTTCAAATCTCCTGCTGATAAGATGCCACTCATATTGGATTAGGGGGCCATTAGGGACCTCGTTTTAACCTGATTAAAATGACGCCATTTCCAAAGAGAGTCACATTCTGAGGTCCTGGGGGTTGGGACCTCAGCCTCCTGGGTGACGTTCATTCTGCAGGACCCTTGGGTCTCTGCCATGAGCCGAACACAGAATTGGGTACAGAGAGTCATCAAGCAGATAAGGTGCTGCCCACAAGGGATGGAGATTGATGTACCTCAAAAATTTATATTTCCTGGGCCTCCCCTGGTGGCGTAGGCGGTTGAGCGCTGCGCTGTAAAGCTGTCTGCAGCCGGTTCGATCCTGACTGGCCGGCGAGGGTCCCACATGGTGCGCAGACCTCTCCTGTCTCACCTGCTGCTCCCCTCAGCAGTGTGTTTTGTCGTCAGTCTGCCTGTTCTGTTCCCCACTCTATCTCTGGTGAATCCTCTCACCCTCCCGTGCATCTGCCCTGTACCCCAGTTCTTGTGTAAATGAATAAATAAATCTTTGAAAAAATTTATATTTCCTGACACTCATTCTTCAGCCCCACTTCTGAAGACCTTTTGTTACTGTTGATATGTGGTGCGCTTCATCCATATTCTTGTCTAATGCTTACGACAATTTGGGAAAATTCTATTCTGTGATTATGACAATTTTGGGAAAATTCTATTGCCAAAACGTATACATGGCAGGGCCAGCTGAGGGATCCAGGCCTATGGGACTCCAGGGTGCAGGTGTGAAGCCTCTTGCTGGGGTCCAGGCACCCCTAGGATTCTGGAGGGGCCTGTGAACTAGGATAAAAAACAAAATTGCATTTTTTCACTAACCTCTACCTGAAATTCAGCCTTTCCTTCAGCTGTGAGGGCAGGCCACTTGACAGTGGTTGAGGAGGCATGTATTCCATGCCAGGTTCTAGGTAAGTGCTTCATATATATTAACTCACCATCATGAAGAAAGTTCTGGGGCTAAGATTTGAACCCAGTTCCTCTTTTTTTTTTAAAAAAAGATTTATTTATTTACACATACAAGAACTGGGGTACAGGCCAGATGTGCAGGGGATAAGAGGATTCACCAGAGACAGAGTGGGGAGCAGAACAGGCAGATCAACTGAAATACACTGCTGAGGGGGAGCAGCAGGCGAGATAGTAGAGGTCTGCTGCACCATGTGGGTCACCTCCCTGGCCAGGGTTTGAACACGTGCTGCAGTGGCTGCAGGCCGCTTGAAAGTGCTGAGAGTTAACCCCTTGTGCCAGCAGTGAGGCCCCTCTTGCTCTTTAGTTTTTTTAGTGTTTCCACCATTACTTGGTGTCTTGAGTGCTCATTACATCTCAATGGACACTCAGGGCCCACTGGCCCTCGTTGGTAACAGCCGGACTTCAGCCTTTGGCCCTGAATCACTAAGTGGTCATGCACCTTGTGGGAACTTGTTGGGGTTGAGACCCCCCAGACCCTGGGCACCCCTACCCAGTCCCTGCCCAGCCTCACCATAGCCTTTGTTGGTCTTCTCGGAAATGGCCATCTCTGCGCGCCCCCCGAAGGCGTCTGCCTGCTCCACCAGGGCCTCACGCACTGCCTCATAGCCGCACAGCACGACCACAGGGGTCAGGCCCAGGTGCAGTGTGAACACCGGCCCGAACTGGGTCCTAAGCTGCAGCAACAGGATGGGTGGTGTGAGCCCTGCTGAGTGGGTCTGCAACTCCGGGGAGTCGGGTCTGTGGCTGCCTCAAGTCTGCATCTCGCTTGTTTCCCTTTATTCCGGGTCTCTGGGTCACCTCTGTGTCTCTGATTCTGAGTGTCTCTGTGCCCTCATTTCTCCATGCCCCACTCTTTCCCAGTGGCCACTCCTGCCAGCGCCCTCTCGTGGGTCTCTGCCTCAGGCCTCCAGCTCTGTGTTTGTCCCTGTGGGTCTCTTGGCCTCCGCGTGTGTTTGTGTTTCCACCTCTGTGACTATTCCTGGCTCCTGTTGCTCTATCTCGCTCTCTTGCTTTCCTGCTCTCTCCTGCACGAGACTCTTGGCTCCATTCCTGCATAACCTCTCTCATCCTTGCTCCTTGCTTGTCTCCGGAGTTCTCTCTCTCCCCTTTCCCTTTCTCCTTTTCTGTCACTCGCTGTCTCCTTATCTCTGGGATTCCCCAAGTTTCTGTCTCTGAGTATTTCTGATGAGAAAATCCCACCCCCTTACCTCTCTCTAGCCCCTCCCACCTCTGCCTGTCCCCACCACCATTTGGGTCCAGGCCCAGGGCAGGGGCACAGAAGGAGGCTGGTTCCCACACACCCTACTCCACCCACGCTTACCCTCAGTAGTGTCTGCAGGAAGGGCACCCCTCTCAGCTGCAGGAGGTTTCCCAGCACTGGGATGGGGGGAGGCCCTGGGGGCAGGCCAGCACGGGCAGCCGCAGTCCTGCTCCAGAGGGTGAGGGCCACAACGAGGAGGAAGAGGAAGAAAGAGAGCAGAGCCACTGGCAGAGCCATGGGGCCTGGCGCTGAGAGAGGCTCAGGCCAGGAAAAGCAGGAAGAGGAAATAACCCATGCGAGCTCCCGCATGTCTAGGGAGGAGGCAGGGAGGGACCTGGGATCCACCTTTGATCGCTTGCTTTTCCCTCAGCCTGGCTCTCAGCCTGGCTTGGGTGGCTCCCAATTCTCCCCTCAACTGTCCCTGGCTGCCCCGGCCATCAAGCTCCCTGATGCTCACGTTCATCCTCTTCAGTCTCTCAGTGTGTCTTCATGTCTCCAAGAGTCCATGTCTGTCTCTCTGTCTGGGCTTCGGTGTTCCTCTTAGCACCTGCACCTCTCCCTGCCGTGCCCTTTTCATCAGTCTCAGGTTTCTCAGCTCCCATCTTTGTGCCTCCTGCCCTGATAATAAAGCTTGTCACATTCCAGTGGAAGGAGTGACCTGCTCACCATGGGCACTGGCAGGAAAACAACCAGGACTTGATGTCTGGATAGTGTGTATCACGCTGTGAACTGCTGTGTCTTATCTCTGCTTCATGACCATCCATCCCTCCCACTCGAATGTTCACTCTATGAGGGCCAGAGCCTTTACCTGTTTTGACCTCTGCTGTGTCCTTGGAGTGCAGAATAGGGCTGGAATATAGGAAGTGCCTACTGTTTGCTGAATGGAGGGATGAATGAATGCTTGCTGTGTCCCTTGCTCTCTCACCATCAGCCTATCTTGGGTTTCTTGCTGTCTTAGCCACATCATACATCTCTCTGTCCTCCCTCCCTCAGCCTTGATCTCTGGGTCTCTTTCTGTGGCCATTATGTATTCACCGGTCACTCACTATGTGCCAAGCCCTCACATCTGTGTGTCTCATTTCCAAGCTCACAAGGTCCCTCTAGGGGAGGTGCTCACCTTTTCCAGGTCAGGAAGCCTGAGGCTCAATGAAGAGCAGACACTTGCCCAAGTGTCCTTGTGTGACAAACAAATGAGGAAACTGAAGCTGAAGGCTGAGTTAGTCTCTCTCTAAAGATCTGTG